AAAAAAAGAACTATGCTTGAATTACCATAGCATAGCGTGTGGAATCGCGTGAGACAAACAAATATGCGGAACATTGCGCAAGTCTTAATTAAAGTGTGCGCTGTCTAATTAACGTAGAACACACAGTTAACTCTTATCAGGACACGATGTTCATTAGGAAAATTGTAGAGTAGTATGTTAATTATTTTCCGAATGTATCAATAAAATTGAACGCGCACATCGTCGTGTTTATTTATATTGCTAAGGTTTTATTTATATCGCGTTGAGAAGTTAATAATTAATAATTAAAAAGTTGAAACAATCATTTTTACACGGAGTATCATCCTGAAACTAGTGGCACAACTGAGCAAAGGTTAATTCTACTATGGAAGAATAAACTGAAAAAAAAAAAGAATAAAATTTTCTCATTTAGAATTTCCAAAAAATTAGGGCTCTATTTCAAGTTTGAAAATTTATTAAACGTACGTAATTTAGCTAATTCTGGACTGATTAGAAACGAATAACAGATAGCTAATTATTCGACTTACGAAAATATATCAAAAGTAAAAGAATTCTTTTGTAAGAGACTAAAACTAAATTTGAAAATTTATTAAATATTATAAGGCCAATTCTCAAATAAACATGTTTTATTCTACATTATTCGCTTACATATAGAATTCCTTCACAGATAGAATTCCAAGTTAATAAATTAAAATAAATTAACTAAATTCAAATATACGTATATTGTATATTCAAATATACGTATTTGAAAAATTGTCAAACTTAGTTTTCTTAAAATTAAGTGTTAAGTGAAAACGTATTCGAATCATCCTGTATGCGATTGTATCACCAATTATCAGACACTCTATATATTACTATATATTATATATATAATAAAGTATATATATATATATATATAGTGAAATATATACCTATTATATTTTTCTTTCCGGAAAAATTTTTTCGAAAATCAGCAAGAAATTGAGACTTTCTTTTTAATTTTGACATTTCATCGTTCGCTATCGAACAAATAATTTTGAAGAAGCAACAATACTTGATTCAAAGATTCCTTTACGAAAACACTTACATACATGAATGTGCGAAGTAGAACCAAATTACCATTGGAAAGCAGCCAAATTAAATATGGATTTTTAATTGTTATGGGAGAACGCTACCACGATAGCGTCATTTTAGAGATACGGAATCGAGAGTAATGAGTTGATGCGACGTAGTCATTAATTGAATGACCATAAATCGAAAGAGATAGGGAAAGATCTGACAACGAGACAGAGATAAAGGAAGAGAGAGAGAGAGAGAGAGAGAGAG